AAATCTAAATTCTCTGATAAAAATCCTAGAAAACGTGCTTGCTGTATATATAAACACTCAATTCAAAATAGACTAGGAAAGCAAAACCGACCCAATAACCCGCTATCGGTCGACTGATGGTCCCTCATCAGTCGACTGATCAATGTGTATCGGTCGACTGATGAGGGTCCATCAGTCGACCGGTTAGAACACCAATTTTGGACCCTGTAATCGTGCATGTTGTCGGTCGACTGATCATGTTCGATCAGTCGTCTGACCCGAAACTCCTGTAGAACTTCTTGCGGTTGAATCGGCCGACTGATCAGACCCGATCAGTCGACCGATGAGCCTCCTTCTGTGCATGTCTTGTTTTTCTTCACCGTTTTCAACAATTCGAACAATCCATCGCCATTTTCTACAGTAATGTAGTTAATAGGTTAAAAGCTAAAACTATGCGTCGACAGTAAAATATATTACCGTGTGTTTTGTGTCTCGGTAGTAAATGATAAATCTATTGGAAGGCTGAGGATGCCCACTTCTTGAATCCAACTCCGGCGCCTGCATATTAGGTTACTTAAGAGCAACTCCAAGAGGCTCCCTATCCCATGTCCTAGCTCAAATTTAGGGAGTATGAGGTGAATATTTGGCTCCAACAAGCTCCCTATATGGTATTCCAAATATAGGGTCCTTCATTTGGTATTCCAAATCAAAGACAAGAAGAGACACTCCCTATATCTACAATACAATAATATGTTATCATTTTTGTTATTTTTTGGACATATCATTGATTGCAAACACAAATATACATAAAGTATTGACAAAAAAAATACAATAACATAGTACAATAATAGAAAATATAATAATATAGGGAGTCATTTGAGGAGCATTGTTGGAGCACTTGCTTCTTATTTGACTCCCTATTTCCTAAGATGAAATATTTACTCCTCAAATATAGGGAAAAACTAAGATCATTGTTGGAGATGCTCAGGTCTATTTGAGTTTAACGCACAAGGAATCGCACCTGATTACACCAGGTAGGCCCCTACTAATAATCAGATAAAGAAGAAACATCCTGCAGCAAGCCTTTTTTGACTATCCATCCGAGCTTTCTTTCTTTTTCTTTTTATTTTATTTTAAATAAAGCTAATGAAAGATGCTCGATCTACTGAGCGTCACGGTCTTCCAATCGAACAAAGTAACATGATTGATATTATGTGCCGGTAATTGACCCGCGATCAATTCCACAAAGCATCGATTGCTATTTGTTGATATCTCTGTGAGAATTTTGATCATCTGCTTGACGTTGTAAAGCCTTTGATGGTGCTAACCGCGAGCGAGAATTCTGGAAGTGGTTTCAAATCAAAGAATTCATGGTTCGACTCATCTCACGAGTCATCCTAACTCCGCAAGTGGTTCCGGCCTGAACAAGTCATCCGTATCGAGCGAGCGTGTCGAGTTCGTTTCAGTTGAGCTTAATTGTCATCGGCCAGCATGGTTCTAATTAGTTCCATCCCTTCGTTTTAACGCACCGATAGTGGATGAAGCGTGACCGTGAGTTGCAGTAGTGAACGCCATGATGATCGATCCACGTTAATCATATAATTAGATAACAGTGACCTTAATTAGCATTTATATATCTTTCCGAGGGAGAGGATCACGGTATGAATCACCTTCTGTCTTCATTATTTATATATCTTTCCGAGGGAGAGGCTTCTACTTGGTTATATATATATATATATATATATATAGAGTGCTGCTACAGGGACCTCCAAAATAGGGGACCCTGAGTGGGACAGGGAGGCGCCCCTATTTTGAGGTCCCTGAGACAAAAAAAAAAAAAAAAGAAAAGAAAAAGAAAAGTAAGTCGACCTCTCATCCCAATGTATTGTTTCTTCCTTTCCCTGCTTCATTCATTTTATCGGTTAATTGCGATGCACGGCATTAAGGCAAAAAGCAAAGCTTACAGCATTATTGAGAGACCTTGAGCACTAATCTTTTGCTAAGGTCACTGGTGTGTCATTTTCCAAACACCTGGCTCTTACAAGTGTCACCTTCGAGATCTTAATTATCCCTCCCTCCCTCTCTATAAAGGGTACAAATATTACTTTTTCGGTTGTGTCATTGATAAATTATTGTACCAAAACAGAGTGTCAGCTTCACATATCAACCCCAAAAGCTCACAAAAGAAGCAAGAGACCTTTTCCTAACTATACAAATTATTTATCAGTGGTTGATGTATATTCAAGTAAATTGTACTACTGATGCATCTCCAAATCCATCTGCATTCTAAATTCTTTCTACTTTTTTTTTCTTTTTTTTTTTTGGTACTACTGATAATCGCATGCACTGTAGGCTGTAGCCATGTTGCTTTTGCAGATACTGATTCTTTTTGATCAATTCAATGATGACTTTAGGGGAGGAACCCTCTAAATGTTTTGATGATATAATTAATTTATTGGATTTGAAAGAGGTGTAGTTACAATGATTAGTTTGAGCGGAAATTCATATGAAGCCTCCTAGCATTAAATTAACTCAAGCTCGTGACATAATCATAAAGGCAAATATTCCATGCAAGTTGTGTTTGGAACCGTTACAACGAAGCACGGCCAGAGAATCTTCCAAGCTATTCTTTGTTCGAGCATTAGTTGTGGCTCCTTCTGACCTTATTAATTAATTAACAACACCCCAAAACCGCATTAAACTATAAATCAACTTACGGCACTTCTAGCACCATGGGAGTTCAATATACAGTGTGCTGGCCTTCATCAAAGGGAAGAACATGAGCTTACTGCATCCAAGTCAACTATTGAGGTGCCTATGCTTGCTAGCCGCCACCCGATGTATCCTCTTAATTAGTTGCTAAAATGCTCCTATATATACCGGTATAAGAAAGCGATGATGGTAAATGGTCTTAATCGTGTCTCGTGCATGAATATCTGGTAGTAAAGGGGAAATTTCAAGTGGATTTAAACAGAACATGCAGAGAACTTATTGCTTGTGAAATTTGTGATGAAGTGTCTGTGGTGGTAGGATAAAACAAATTGCGGTTTAGATAAGAAGCTGTAGTATTGTGTTTCCTGAATGAGAGGTTGTTGTTCCTCGTTTCCTGAATGAGAGGTTGTTGCTCCTTACATTATCTTCATGTTTTCAGTAATTTTTTTCTACGCTTCGGAACAGACATTAGCATTAAAGAGGACAGGGAGAGATGACAAGAAGATTTCCTGTAGCTTGATACTGATCTCTGGTATCGCCTGTTTCTGTTTGCTTTTTACTGAGCCATTAGTTTTCTACAAAATGCAAAGTAGTAACAACGCATTGACTACTTTAGAAATGCTCACAGCTCGTGTACAACTCAGAATGAGTAAGCCAAGCGATCGATGGATGGATAGTCTGAGGATAGACTTCTGCCAAGCTTTCAATAAGATAACTAAGGTTAGGTTTGTGCCTCCCTAATGGAAATCACCATCGCAAATCTTCTAAGACGAAAGCCTGTAATTTACTGTCATAAATGCAGAAGACTGGGTTTAGAATTTTTCTTTTTCTTTTGCAGTTGTTCTATCTCTGGCAACACTCTTCTAAGAGATGCATATAACAGGAATGAGCTTGATTGAAAGAGAGGGTGATGGATCCATTCCTGGGGGAAACAAGGAAGGAGAAAAAAAAATACGAGAGAAAGAGGAGGATTATGAATATTAACAGTACAGAGGTTATTTAGATTACATGAGTAGACATGAGTTCAGTATATGATCCCAGGTCTAAAGCATGAGGAGATTGAAAGAGAGGTTAGCCGAAAAACCTCCATCAAGAAAAGCTAGTGCTTCCAGGGACAACATTAAGACTGGACCCTCATCTCTTTGAACTAGTGATTAAGCAGAACATGTGCATGGAACCAATCATATAAAATGTCATCATTGAAAAAAAACCAACCGTCGTGGTTGGTTATTGAATCTTCTCAGAGTTTTAAGATTCGGTAGGAGCTCCTTCAGCATCAACCGCTATATGCCAAAGGAAGTTTACAGGTCATCAAGCAAAACGGTTTGAACATAGAAGACCTTTTGCAATCGGTAGT